ACCTGAACATTGATTGTTATTCACTTAACATTCAAAGACAGCGCCTGTCCTTGCTCCATCTGGAGATGGTAGGGACACCTTCCCGATCTGTATGGTGTGCCTCTGGCATGGTGTCTCCACTGCAGTGGCATCTAACAAATCAACCTCAACACTCCCCTAACTGAACTTATTATCCCAATTTCTTCCTCTATTCTGCCTTTACTGGTGTCACCATCATGCCTTGGTCGCCCAAGCCAGAAATCGGACCATTGGCTTGCAGTCTACCTTACCTGTCAAGCTCACAGGTAGTCAGTCACCAGGACGCAGGGAGACCCTTGGAAAGAGGTCTCCAATCAACCTCTCCTTTCCACCCCTCTGCTGATAGGCCAGTACACACCCTTAGCTAATTGCTGCCATGAAACAAGAAGGGACATTCCCTGAGGACAGTGACCAGCAGCCAGGACGGTGTGGTGGACGGGGCTATGCCCTTGGAGCCAGAATGGTGAATTTGAATCCCAGTCGCTGCTCATCAACTGTGGGATAAGAATCGGGGCTTCAGTTCTCTCATCCACAAAATGAGAAAAAAATCCCTCCCTCCCTGGCTTGCTGTGAGGACAAAATAAAGCTAATATACTACCAACACTTACACCAGTCTCGGCACACAGTGGAGTCGGCAGACGTACTCCACGGGTAATGGCAGATGAGGGAATGGCGGCTCGGAGCAGTGAAACACCTTCCTCAGGATCCCCGGCTACCCAGCAACACAGCATGTGCATCCAGATCTACAGCAACGCTCTTATTTTTCCCTGCACCTGGCACATCTAGGTTGTTAATAAGAAAGTGGAACCTCTAAAGTGCCAATACAGACAGATGTATGTAGAACAGTATGCATAATATGATCTCATTTAAAAAAAACATTTAGAGTTAATTACAAACTTGCCTGTGACTCCTGTGAACCTTGCATATTCCTTCGTCATCTCCTTTTCACCCATCTCTCCTCCTAAACCACCTGAGGGAAGATTCCCCGTTGCACAGCGGCACAGGGCCAGGGACATAGCATTTCATATTTGTTAAATTGCTGACTTGCATGGGATCTTTTTATAAAAATAAACGTATTTATTTAGCAGACACTAGATACTAAGAGATAATATTTGATTGTGGTTAATGCAGTCAACCTACAAAAAATTATTTAGAAGAAAGTTTTATTTCTTCTATCCCATGCCCCAGACAACCAGCTCCTATCTCAAGAAGCAGCCCTGGTGACCAGTTTCTTATATATGCACCCTTCAGGGACATTAGTGAACTGCATTGAATTTTGGTGCAATGTAAAGTATTGCCAAAGATATGCACATTTAGGCAGTGTGTTTTCTTTCCTCAGAAGTCACCGATTTCTCGCAAACCCATATAAAGGACAACCCATACATAAACTTGTGTGTGTGTGTGTGTGTGTGTGTATGTGTGTGTGTACCAACCCAGAGGACGGTGCTAGTTGTGTCTGTGAACTCCTCAGGTAAAACCACCATCCAATTCTATTTGCAGATTCCCTCCCCTTGCAGCTGAGCACATGGCCAATCATTTCTTTGGTCTGAGATTTCATTTTTATTGTGCTATTCATTCCCTGGGCATGGGAAGACTAGGCATTCTGTGACATGAACGTGACAAAGGACTGCATGTCTCTCAGAGAGATGTCTGAGGTTACTCTAGCACAACTTACCATAATTTGAAACAAGAAATCGCTTCCTGGGGAAGAAAGACAGAAAGCACCCTCCTCAGTGTGGTTTTGTCAGACAGATGTCTGCAACCGCACTGGAAGGCACTTCACCTAATACTTTAATAATGAACTCTTAAAGGGACTTAGCACTTGGCACTGCCTTCCCTCGGGTTGCTAACCTGCTCCTGTTACATGGGCTTTGTTACATGGGCACAGCACACTCAGACTTGGACGACACTTTGAAATGACATCACAAATGTCATTCCTTAGAAATGACAAGTTGCACAAGTGGTACTGTGCCTGTGCTTGCAGAGGAATTGGTATACGATATTTACAATGCTCTGCTTTATTCTGAATATATGGGTTCCCATGTCTCTACTCCTCCATAATATTTTCTAGTTTCCATTTCTACATGCTACAGGTACACTCACTTTATTTCTAAAAGACAAAACAAAAGAGATTGAACAAAAAATGTACCTCAATATATAGGTTTCCTCCGTCTTTTTTACTTCTAAGTGATTAAAATGGAAGAATTTGAAAACTAAGTAACAGCTACAGTTCTTCTCATCTCTTCTTTGGGAAAAGTAACTATTTTATTCTCCCTTGCTAGCATCTTTCCAGCTTGTTCCTACACTGCGGCAAATAAATTAGAGTCGACGCTAATTTACTTAATTTTTATTTTAATGTTTATTTTATTTTTCTTGTTTCAATATTATTTTGAGAGTTGATTTTAAATAGGTGCTTTCCCTATTATTTCTTTTAGGGCTGATGTAGACACAGCACCTACCCATGACAAGCTAAATGGAGCCTTTGTTTCCGCTCGGCCCTCAATGAAAGATGCACTGGGAGATAACAGAAGGGTCCTTCCTTCTGTCCCAACTCTGTTTGCTAGTAAGTTGTCTGTTTGTGGCTCCAAGTCTTTGGTGCAGACTCAGTGGTCTCTCTGACTGTCAATGAGCTCTTTTTATTAGTTTCTTTGTTAGTGCCTTCTTCTTGTTACTTCTACCTCCTCAGTTTCCATTAGAAAAGCCAACCACGAGGGCATCCGGCCAAGTTATGTACCCCAGCTCAGCCAACTCATTGCGGTTCTCACCAGTCTTAGGAAAGTCCTCCTTGGGCGAGGAAATGATCCCAGAACTCATGGAGAAAACGGATTCTTTCATTCTGGCACGCTCTTCCTTCTATTAGAGACATTATTTGTTTGTAATCATGAACTTCCTTCTCCATCAGCCTGCTTTCTATGCTCTGGTTTTATTACTTTCCATTCTTCTATTCTTTAACTGAAAAGTTTCTGTCCTAGAAATTGAACTCTTCTGCTGTTTAGAATGCCATTCTGAAAAAGCGTTTCTGCGTCATTTCCAAACATACTCCAGTATCACTCCAGAGCTCTATTACCATACGGATAGGATTGCCAAATAAATGGGTATTGTTAAATGAACGAGAGGGATGTGGTTTAATCATGTGCAGAAGATTTATGTTTCCTGCTGAGTTTAAATGGGTAAATCACATAGTAAAATGACAATGCTACATGAATGCAACAGGCACTGCTTGTTTGTTGGCCTCCACCAAGACATAGCAACATTTTCCCGCCTGGCATCTCTAACAAGATGTCAAGTAACCAGCAGAGCAGAGAGGGGGGATGGCAGAGTGGGTAAGAGAATGGCCTCTGGCACGAGACAGCCCAGTCTGGCTTCCAGCTCAAGCATTTACTAGCTGCACGTCATTGGTCAAGTTACTTAATCTCTCCATGTTCAGTCTTCGCATCTACAAAATAAAGTACTCATCCCTGCCCACTCACTTCACAGGCTTGTTTAAAGAATAAGCAAGCGAATATACACAAGACACCAGAAAGTAGCTGGAATAGTACTATATGTAACTGTTTACTATTATTATGTAGTGATTGCTTGTCTTGATGACAACCACAATTCAAACAAAAAAACAAAAGCAAAGAGAACAAAAACGAGGTGAGCATATTACATAATACAGCATATTACATCAACTTTCAAGACAATGACACAGTACTGAAACACTCTTCCAGGAATGAATTCAAACCTGGGAACCTACGAAAGAAAGTCTTTACTTCCCTGAGTCAATCAGGATACTTTGTCTTTGAACATCTCTATAAAGAACTCAAGTCATTCATCAACAACTATTACTAACAGGAGCCAAAGATATTGAAATGGAATGTATCTAAGGTCTTGTGACAAACTACTCTTCCGCTATATTTCTATTTATCTGCAATTTTAGAATCCCAATTTTAGAATCCCGATTTTGGTGGTAAAGTTATAATTACATTTACATGCTACAGAATTTTCTTAGTTTTTATTGTCATTACCTCTTTATATTTGATGGAGACCTTAGCAAACACCAGGTAGAGATGGAAACTGTCCCCAAATGCCTTTTTTGGTGACAGATTATTAGAAATTTGAGTTGACACATTATTAGAAATTTAAGTTAAAACTTTTTTCTTTTTTTTAACAGCATGACATTAACTTACATGTTTATCATCCAAAGGATTTCTATATGAGGGTAGGTCAAAAGTTCCAAGGATGTAAGTAGTTTTTTCAAGTAGGATAAATGCCACCCAAAAGTAATAAACTATTATTTTAGATACCAATACATCAAACAAAACAATAATGTTTTATTAGTACAGATTAGTACAAGTTTTAACCGTTCAGAATTTCTAAGAACTGAAATGTTTCGGAAAAGGTATAGCTATTTATGGCAGGCGTGTCAAGGCAACAAATGAGAGAGACCTGTGTTTACATTTTCCCCTGTTTACTCTCAGAAAGTGAGTGCAAACACATTGAAAGAGTCAGCCTTTATGTCTAAACGTTGGATACGCAAGTCAGCAACAGTTAGGATATAATTACTCTTAGGGACCTGGATCTCATTTTGGGTGTACTAATTGTATAAATTAGTTTTACGTGAAAGTGACATTGTATAATGATTACATTTTAGCCAAATCTAGGGTGCTTGCTTGTTTTTTACTTTTATTGTTATTTAACTGCTCAGGCCTAATGATTAAATGATTACTCTTTTGTCCTATGAGTTGGGAAAACCTTTGATTTACTTCCCTTTCCGCACAATCAGTTGATTTGCATAATGCCTAATGATGCTTCTCTCAGATTCCCATGTGTTTATTGCTCCAAACATGTCAGTGGACTGTCATTTAACGGGGGAAAAAAGTCTTCAAAGCCAGAGGAAAGCCTAGGCTATAATTTTGCATACCTACACGATAGTATTCCCAGGCAGCCAGATGCCCAGAGAAACAAGATCTAGTTTTTTTGGTTGTTATCAAATGACTTACCCACAATGACCGCAGTGACGGTGAGCAGCACAAAAGCATTCCGAAATAGGTAATTTTTAACATCCTCCTTTGTGATGTTCTGCACTTTCTTCTTGGCCAAGAGCGTGCGTTTACGGACTCCTTGCTGGAATCTCTGCATCCTGCCTCCCACCCTGGGCTCTTCTCCATTGCTCTTAGTCATATTTTACTTCTCTAGGAGTGTCTCTTCTTTGCACTTCAGTGTCCCAGAATCACCCCCAGAAAGCCAGACCTCTTCGGTGTTTGAGAACACAGCTAGAGCGGGAGAGAAAGAGACAAGAGTTACCTCCCCAGCAGTGAGAAGTCAGTGAGTTCCACACTAGGAGAAGCTATTGGCAAACTGCATAATCTCGGTAGGAATCAAGGGCTGGAGTCACAAAGCCTAGACTGCATATTTTACGGACCACGTGTGAGGAATGTGCATAAATTCAGAATATATGAGCAGAAACCTGCGTTCTATTTTTAAAAACTTGTCATGCCTCCTCCAACCAGGCTATAAAAGGGTTCATCAGAGCCAGGTTGACTGAGCACCCCCTATACCCACCCTATCCCCCAGAACCTAGAAAAGTGCTATGCACAATGTTCACCCTCAATAAATGTTCAGTTGAATTGGATGCACAGGAAACACTTAATTACTTGATGGCTTATGTTGTATTGCATGGTGAAGGCATAAGCAGGTCAATGAAGTGGATTATGGTATTGCCATTTCGCAGTTGGAGCTTCCTGCTATATATAATAAAACAACTATTTTTTTTTATTAAAAACAAATCATCATAATACCAAGTAGCAAACATGGCCATGAAAAGAACACAAGCAACCACAGGACTTGGGAACTACATCTGACTATTTCACAAGGTAACTTTTTAATTTTTCCTGTGAAATAAGAAAAGTACTTTGGGCACATCTATAAATGATCTGAAATCATAATTATTTTTCATTTTTGTCTCAAGTAGAAGCACAAAGTAGCATTTGTCTTTGTGGCAAACACACTGAGGTCTTCTGAGAAAAATATCCCAACTTCTAAGTATTTTAAATTTTAGTGTTTCTAGAACAGATGAGGTGAATCTAGTCTCCATTCCAAACATTACAGTGTGTGGTTTCCAGTTTCTTTAAAGTGTTCCTACGTTATTGAAATCTATATAAGTACATCTTTGCAGAGGTAGAAATCCTCTATTTTTAAGAATCAAAGCATACCTCCTGCTGTTTTACAAAATTTCAAATCCTTAATCTTCACCATGGATCAGGCGGAGAGGAAAATCTACTCTGCCTGGGGACGTGTGTTTCTGGCAACACAAGCAGCCAGCGTGCGCGGCGTGGGGGAGGCAACTGGAGAGGACTCCTTGGAGCTTCTGGCGAATCCAAGCGTGGAAAGAAAGACGTGCTCAACAGTGTGACTTTTAAATAAAATTACAGGGTGGCGTCAGCGATAATAAGACTTGCACGTTTTTTAACACCTCACAGCAGATTACAAATTTAGAAGAGGTGACGCCAGACACCAGATTTTTTTTCCCTCTAATCTCTGATCCCCTTTACCAGTCACTTTTAAAGAGACCAGCTCAGCCTTGATTATTTTCTAGATCTCGAAGCACCATCTACCCCTCATCGCCCTGAGTGACTAACTTTCAAATTAAGACATGGCATAAAGGCACCCCACACGCTCATGACATTAAATTGCCATCATGAACTTGACCAAAATGGCTAGCTTTTACTCTGGCAAGTCCTCTGCTTGGGAAAGGAGAAATTCAACCCAGCAGGAATACAGGATGTTCGACTTACCTTTTCTGCTGTTGTAGCGGCTGGGAGGCAGCCCAGGCAATGACAAGGTGAATTCCCCCGCAGGTAAGAGCCCAGGAGCTCGCAGCGGCCAGGCGTGCATGTGCTCTGACACTGCTGCTTACTACCAGGGCCACTTAAGGAAAGGGGCGGAGTCTGGCCGGGGAAGGGGGCGTGGGGAAAAGGACAACACCCCGGGGAAGGAGCGGGGAAGCCCGAGGTTTCTGGAATACTGATGAACCTTGGCGCACCAGGAGCGTGCTTGCTGGCTTTGTTTTGCTCCTTACGCCACTTTCACGCATTGTCAGTTCATTTTCATTAGAAATGCAAAACCGGGACCGGGGAGGATGTAAGAATAGGGCCAGCGCCCCCTCAGAAAGCTGGGAGTCTGGATTAGAACGTTTCTAAGAAGACTTTTCTGAGGCTAAATTGAATTATCTCACATTATTGCAGGTTTCCTCCCCTTAAGGAAACACGAGAGCGTGCTCTTTTGCCTGGTTGTACAACTGTTATGAAAGAGTCTCTCGTTTTAGAATTGGGGTAATAACTGACATTTCTTGGGAAGATCCGGAAAGCAATCAAGTACCGAGGGGAAGCAGCTTACTACAATTCTTTAAACTTGCCTAAAGTTACTCAAAACACAAGATGGGACATGCCTCTAGTTAAGCAGTTCAAACTCTGTTATAACAAATCTAACTGAGCTCCAAGGGCCGGCCTTGCAAACACTGAACTGATTAGACGCAGAGAGACGAGGATCTTTGCTAAACTAGAGACTTAAAATGATTTTATGGTCAAGAGTGTAAATACACACTTGAAGTTTTATGGTTTCGGAAGATGCTGTGCAGATAGATACCTCAATTTTAAAGGATGCTAAATGTATTCCGCCCCCCATCATGTTTAGGGACAAGAAAATTCTCGTTGCCTTGAGAATGTACCTTGCACATCTAGTGCTCTTTCCTTAAGAAGGGAAATAGGTGGTGAAAATAGATTCTAAAAAATAAAAAAAAATTTTTTTAAGCCCAACTCAGCTCCAAAACGTAGAACTTGTTTAACATGAAGAAAAAAGTTTAATAGAAACGAAAACCTGTACCAAAACTTACAACCAGAGGTCTGCATTCCTGTTCATTAAGTTTCATTTTCCCCATGCAAAACCAGCTTAATTTTTGTGCCTGTTATCCAAGAAGCAAGCATGTCTTTTCCCCTCATTAGCAAATCCAGGCGAGATTCTAAAGATATGTCTCCTGCCTGCTTCAGCTGTTCCGTTTGAATAGCTGCTGGGTGCAAAGCGATGGTGAATCACGAAAATGCTTTAAGATGACAAATTAGCAGCAAGTATAACAACTTTTAAATCTGGCATCACTTTAAGAGTTTATTGAAAATACATGCTTTTGACAGTGCTGGCCCTCAGCGGTCTTTCTCTTCCACTGATATCCTAGGTCACTTAGCATTTGTGCCGCATTGTTTAGCACTTAATTATACTGTCTTCTGCTGCTCCTTTCTGTTTAAAATCCTGTTAAACTTTGGCTCCTCACCTAAAGTATATGTTCTTTGAGGACAAGAACCAGTCTTATGCATGATGCAGAGTTAACATTAAATAACTCATAAGTGGATGGCATAATATGAGGGTATGAAGCAAAATGCTTTTCAACCTTCCATGTTAAAACAAAACCACTGGATTTTATGTTGGCACCTCTGGCCTAGGTGCGTGGAGCAGATGTCATTTCTCAACACAGTGACTGCATTTTAAAGCATTTATTTACTATATGAAGTCCTTACTGGGCCATGGGTTTAAGGCTAATTTGTTCATATTTCTTGTGGCAGCGACCTGTATTTCTAGGGAATTGAAAAGCGAAATCTTTAAATGGTTTTAAGTGAAATTTCAAGCCAAGTGGCATTTCCGCTTTTTAATCCTGTCCACCCCCCACCACCACAGGGAAGAAAAAGGACCAGAAAAACCACACTTTGGTTAACATAGAGGAGAGAAGGCCCCAGTACCCTCTTTTCCTCTCCTTTTTTTCTAATTCCTAAAGCTTGGTTTAAAATCATTTCATTATTTGGGTTTGCACAGACATTCTGGGAGTCTGGTGTACCCTTGAGAAGGGAAGTAATTCACCACCGAACGTTTTGTTAACTTTATAAAACCTAATGAGAAAATGAGATGCACAGAGTCTCAGTGCAGAGTTCTTCTGAATTACAAGGCTTTTAGTCTGGGAGAAAAATTGGGAATTCCTCTTTCAGGCACCGCTTTCTCTTTGGGAAAAGCTGTAACAATAATGCCCTTGGGGCAACCTGGGTTCACTCAACACACATCCTATTTCCCCCTGCTTTATAAACAAAACCCTTGAGCATTAGAAAAATGTTCTCTTCACAGAAATACTAAATGTGTAAAAGATCAAGAAATTATAACAAGCCTCTGTGTGCTGCATTTTATTTAAAACTCTGGGCAGGAGACAGAGCCAGGGAGTCATATTAATTGTGGTATTTCAGAGTGGAAAAAAAAATATTGGCAAATGCTGCTTTTGAAAATGCTTTCAAGAATTTTCTTTGAATAAACTATTATAAAGTATATTGGTGGTGATTTTTTTTTTTGAGAAAAATGTCACTGTAACATGAAACAACCAAATCCAACCTAACCTTAACTGATCCTCCCGTTCATTAGTTTAAAGTGTGAGGGATTGTGATCAATAAGTAAGTGCTATAATATAGTACAGAAGAGTCACATTTCAGCATTCAAGATGAGGGAATTCTGATATTTGAGGAAGAAAATGGATTAGCAAAACTTTGAATGTTTATTAATATTTTTCACTTAAAAAAATTCATGAGGGATCTTGTCATTCCTCATTCAAATAGCTTGTATTTTAGGATCATCTGAAGAGTGTCAATTCTCTTTCCAGAAGTTGGAAATTATAGAATATTACCAGAGTGGACAGGACCAGGTTTAACCCCAGTGGAAGTACTAGAAGTTGTAGGACTAGAAGGAGCATTTGTGGTAGTTGGTCTCTTGTTTAGTCTTTTTTTTTTTTTATCCTCACCCGTGGACATTTTTCCATGTTTTGTTCAGACGGAGTGGGAGGGAGAGAGAGGAAGAGAGAGAGAAACATCAACGTGAAAGGGACACATTGAGTGGCTGCCACCTGCACGACCAACTAGGGTCGGGGACAAACTGCAACCGAGATGCATGCCCTTAGCCGGAACCGAACCCGGGTCTCTCTGGACCACAGGCCGACGCTCTAACCACTGAGCAAAACTGGCCAGGGCTTGTTTAGTCTTAAATATTTTTTCTTCCTGGGTTTGAATGGGAAAAAAATAAAACAAAATAAAAGCAGCCCAACAGAAAAATCTGTACTAAACTCTAGCTAGTTGGATTTTTAACTGACTGGGTTTATTTTAGGCTATATGAAAACTGAAAATCTCAAGTACTGGTGAACTATAATTAACCTTGATTTCATTCATTCATTTATTCATTCATTCATTCAACAAACCTTAGGCAAGTACTGTGCTCCAAATATCAGTCCCTTTCCTTCGGGAGCCCACAGCACCTTACTCTGCAGCGAGCAGTGGGAGGGCCCCCTGGGAGGGCCCCCAGGGAGTTACGTCACTCTGTGCTGAGGCCCATTTCCCAGGGCTCCCTGCGGGACCGAGCTCCTCGAAGGAACTGTGCCTGGCTCAACCTCGTCTGTACAGAGGACCCACAACACCAAAACAAAGAACTTGAACTCTACTCCTAGGCAAGAGGGAGCCATAGGATATAAGCATAGGGGTGATTTTACTCGTCGGTTGATGCAAACCCTTTAAGTGAATAAGCTTGAATTAGAAAGCAAGGAAGAGGAGGAGCATTTGCAAACTGGGATAGTTCACACATTAAAAAAATAAATGCCACTGGAAAATGCAGACGCCCTCACACTACTGAGGCCCTTCAAGTGACGGGCTGGCCCAGAGTCTGGACTGATCAGTACCTGAGGTGTGTACTCTCCAGGCCACTGGGCCTGCCCACTTAATTCCTTTTAGTTTCCAGCATCTTCCCCTAGCACATTCTAACGTTTAGACCACTGATGGGGTCTAAGAAGCAGTCTGAGCCCTGACCGGTTTGCTCCGTGGTTAGAGCGTTGGCCTGAAGACCAGAGAGACTGGGGCTCAGTTCCCACTAAGGGCACGTACCTCGGTTGCCGTTTGTCCCTGGCCCTGGTTGGGGTTGTGTGGGTGGCGGCCACTAGCCGTGTCTCTTTCACATTGATGTTTCTCTCTCTCTTCCTCCCTCTCTTTCTTCTGCTCTAGAAATAAATGCAAAAATGTCCTCGGGTGAGGATAAAAAATAAAAAGAAGCAGGCTGAGCAAGGGCACAGGCCTGGGGACCCCAATGGAAAGGGGAAGAAGAACAAGAGGAGTTCCTAAGAGATCCCTTGTCTCCCTCGGGCAGGCCCTGAGGCACTGCATCAGTTTGTGGATCCAACCCATCATCCTTGAAAACAAAGATGCACGAGGAAGTCAAGTCCTGGTGCCATGATTCCTTGGTGCCAGGTCCAGGTTTAGAGCTTGGGTTTTCCATCACTAAATCACATGTTCCTCCCTCCCAATTTGCATGTCATCTGTAAAATGAGGTTCGACTAGATTATTTTTCTGAAGTCACTTTCCCAATTAGCATTCTATGATTCTAAATCATGCCATGCCAATAATGGGCTGGCCCCATTCACTTTGGTTTATTTAGTTAAAGATACACATACATATATATATATTTTTGGTATGTGCCCCTGGCCGGAACTGAACCCAGGACTCTCTGGTTCGCAGGCCAACGCTCCAACCGCTGAGCCAAACCGGCCAGGGCCAAAAACACATATTTTTATATGCACTCAATGATTAATGGCTTCTCATTAGATTTCTCTGCCACAAATTAAACACAAACATTTAAACAGTAACCAAAGGAATCTTATTGAAGGGCATGGGTTTTATGAAGCACAGCAATGACATGCATCTTTCATAAGCATTTGCTGGTATGGAATCATAATTACAGCCATCAAGACACATACACATCATGTGTAAGGGAAAAAAAAGTAATTATAATTTAAAAGCATACCACTCAAAGTTGCCATCACAAAAACGACTATTATGG